AAAAAAAAAAAAAATAAAATAAAAGGAATTCTGCAGTGAGGTAGAGTGTAGGCAGAGTCAATTTGAAATATGTTAGAGAAGTTGAAAAGGTGATAAAGGTGATGCAGTGTGGCAGAAAGTAGACATTGTAGCTCTAAGTCCATTCTTTACTTTTAAATCTATTTTGGGACTTTTGGAAGAGGCAGTAAGTGGTTGTCAGATTAATGGGTTACAACAGATTCTTGCCCCTTTTTTGCTCCTCTCTTTATTTATTTTTGTATTTTTAGGGAAGGGTCCACAAGGTGTTCAGTGTCTCACTACTAGATCAGACTCATAGTGATCCTCCTGTTTACAGCCTCCCAAAAGCTGGGATTACAGGCACGTGCCACTATGCCCAGTCTCAATTGTTGTCTCAGTGCACCCCGGGGGTGGGGCCTGCACAGCAGGCCCCAGGATCAAACCCCATGCCCCTGCGCCTGCTTGCACATACTTTGATCAGCTGAGCTATTTGGCTGGCCCTCTCCTGTCTTTATTTACTGTTTTAGACTATAATTTCACTATGTCAGGGCCATAACTTTGTGTTTTAACTTATTACCTTAAAGTGAAGCATTGGATATGATAAGGAAGATACAGAACTGTAGAAAGCTGGAGCCTCACATCAAGCATTGCCTTCCAGCGGCTCTGACCTGATCCTCAGTTGATCCGTGTAGTACAAAAGAAACTCTTCTCTCATGTGTCCGATGAGATACAGTATCTCACATGGGATACTTGCACAGGATAGTTCACAAAATTATACTGGTCCTGATTGTTCCTGTTAATGACAGTAGTACTCTGTTTTAGGTTGGAACTCAGTTTATTCGTGGTGTGTCTGGAGGTGAAAGAAAAAGGACCAGCATAGGAATGGAGTTGATTACAGATCCTGCTATCTTGTTCCTAGACGAGCCTACAACTGGATTAGACTCAAGCACAGCAAATGCTGTCCTTTTGCTCTTGAAAAGGTAAATGCTCTAAGAATGTTGTTCCTTCATTTATTAATATAAATCATGGATCACTTTTGTGTACCAGGTGTTCTTGATGCAGGACACTTCAAAGTGAATAGTAGAATTTCTTCTTTTTCTGTGGCAAGGAAACAGTCAAGGACAAAAGAAATGCTAAGAGAAAGTTGAAACATAAGCCCAGGGAAGGATGGCTCTAGCAGGATGAAACTATTTTAAATTAAATGGCAGAAGAATCAGTGAAGACCTCAAGCCTGTAATATGTGTTCTGGGAGGGAGTGAGAAAAACGAGGCTGGATGTGGTGAGTGAGAGCTCTAGCTGGAAGGAACAGCCAGTGGCGCAGGGCCTAGCAGACCTACTATATGTGAGACATCAAAGAGGCCAGAGGGCAGAACCCAGGGTCTGAGTGGAGTAGAGGTTGGCTAGTGTACTGCTGTAATAAAATACTACAAACTGTGTCTTAAAGACCATAAGTTAGTTTTTCTTACAGTTCTAGGAGGCTGGAAGTCTGAGCTCAAGATGTCCTGGGGTTATTTCTTCTCAGTCTTCCCTCACTGGCTGTGGATGGCTGTCTTTTCCCTCTGTATGCTTGTAAACTAATCTTTTATGTGGATGATAATCAGATTAAGACCCAATCAGTGACTTCATTTAATGTCAATCCCATGTTTGCAGACTACCTCCAAATGCAGCCACATTTGTAGGTACTGGGATCAGAATTTTAGCACCTGAGTTCTGGCGAGGACAGTTCAGCTTAGCATAACAGGTGGAACAGGATTTGAGGTGGCTTTTGGTTGGTGGCAGAGTGCACAGACCTCAGACTTCTGTGACAAGTATGGTTTTTACTGTCCCTAGGGGATGTGGGAGGCATTTTTAGAGTTGTAGAACAGACCATGGGCAGCTGTGGAGAGGCTGTACTTTTGGCAGTAGGGAGTGTGAGGACACCAGGATGGAGGCTGTTGAGGAGTGGCACTGCCTTGACTAGGATGATGTGGCGAGGTGCTGAGAGTGTTCTGGGCATGTGTTGAAGAAAAAAACAGCAGCAACAACTTAGGTTCACTTTGAACCTGACGTGTAATGCTTGCGACAGTGACTCCTACAATTTAGGGTTGAAGAAGGGGAAGAATGAAGTAAAAGCAAAGCATTTCTTTCAATCAAGAAAGAAGACAGGGACATTTATAAGAAAAATTCCTAAAGGTTATCTTCCTTAAAACTAATAAAAATAATTTGAAGCTGACAGAAAATCTCTAAGAATAATACAATGAAAATCACACTTCTCTCACATGCATTCCTTAATGGTTATTTTTTGCATCGTTTGCTGACTTTTCTACTCTCTCTGTTCCTGTTTACATGTTTCTTTCCAGTGTTATTCTTCCTTACCCAAACGTACATGTTTCTTTCCAGTGTTATTCTTCCTTACCCAGACGTAGTCCTGAGTATAACTCTGAGGAGCCAGGACACTCCCTTGTGCTCCCCTCCCAGTGAAGAAATCACCTTCCGGGCTTCAGCACCATCCAATCTGCAGGTGCTAGCCCGGTGTCACCAGCTCTTCTTGCCATGTCGGGATCCTCTGGAGCAGCGGATCTTTTTTGTATTGTTTACTAATGCAGAAGAGTTCTGTATTCTTCCCCTCTCTTTGTTGTCCTTGTGAGCATTTCATGGGGTTGGATTTTGGCCTGAGATCCTGGTGTCCATGAGTTGACCCAGCTACAGAACACTGTTTCACACCCTGGGCTGTTCCCACCACAGGTGGTGTGAGCCTGGGCATATGGTCCTGCAGGCCCCTCTGGTGTGACCTCACTGATTTTCATCTTGGTAAATGATAAGCATTTTGTGGAGGGAGAATGTTGGTCATGATGCCCTTATTCTGTTCCTCATTGTGTCTCTCCCTCCAGTGTTAACATACAACATAAGTTCTTTTTTTATGGTTGTCTAGTGTAGAATGACTGATATATTTGTGTTAAGAGGTTTTCTCTTTTCCCTTCCCTGTTCATAGCCATTTGTTCAGTGGGGTATGATTGTTATTTTTCCCTATTTTAATAATGAAATTAACCCTGATTTTGACATTAGTGCCTCTTTAATGTGTTTTTTGTGTTTGTTTTTGTTTTTTTGTTGTTCTTTTGCTACCTCCCTGTTCATCTTGTGTTTCTGTATTTCATAGTCACTGATACATTGAGCTTACCTGTACTTTTCCTGCATCAGTCATGTCTGTAGGAACTCTGGCTCTTTTGAAGTCATTAATGCTTAGAAACCAAGATCGGGTCACTTAGTATACTCACTGCTACTGGAATGTCACTGCTTCTAGACCTGAGTGTACAAGCATTGGAAATATAACTATAAGTGCACATGTGTATATTATAGAAATACACATCTATATTTTATTTGGAAGTGTTGAATATAAATAAATATATGTGTATCTTATTTCTCCCACAATAAGACAGATCTTACTTTTGCTCCAAAAGACACAATAGGGCTTTTTTTTTTCATGTACAAAAATCTACCTTTATTCAAATACAGTCATGACCTCTTCATATCATCATCCAACCCCAAGTTTGGGCCTGAATTTCTTGCAGCTCCATTTCCTGTAGCACTGTCAGCCACAGTCTCTCACATCTAGCACTACAGCGGTCCTTAAGTGAGCACTTTCACTCCATGCAGCCTGCTCGTAGAGCACTGGCAACACTGCTGTCCGTGATTTTATCCCACAGGTGCATCCCCCAAGTCCTGACCTCTTGCAGGAGAGGATCCACAAAGTTTCTATTAAATCAAGTGTTAATTGAACACTTACAAGAAAGAAGTGGCAACAAAAATGATGGTCCACATAAAAGCAATGAAAAATTGCAATAAAATTCAGAAAGTGTTTCTCTGTTTCCTGTCAATGCATTAAGTACATCCATTACAATACACAACATATTGAATTATGAAGATTCATATTAGACACAACCCATGTTATAGAGAGCCCTTTTTGGTCCTCATTATGGCCCAGGACGTTTATATTTGTAATCCCATGGAAAAGTTAATCGAATCTACTACTTAGTGTAACTCAGGAAAAGAATGAAGACACTAAGACATATTTGTAGTTGTGGGGACATATTTGTAGTTGTGAGGAGCCAAGGGGTTATAAGTCCAGTTGTGATGATGGCTAAACTGAACCAAGGCCTTTATCCAGGTAGTCCTGCACACCATGTCTATTTATTATCAGCTGCATATATTATTTGTGCATGTATTCTGATCAATCGCTAATAAGTGTCAAGTTTGTGTTTTATCCTTTTTATCCCCATGTTCCCACTTGGGCATTTACAAATTCTTAATTATATTATCATTTATTTAATATATTAATATCAGTACTATTTATGTTTAATTATATTCTAATATGATTTTATAATTCAGTATGTCCATCATGTGTTACAGTGGACATACGAAAGGTGTCTGTCTGACTGATGCTCTTAGCTGGAGCTTGTTTTTGGGGTGAGGCTTATTACAGTCTTACAAGAATCTGAAAAATCATGCTAGGGCTTATTCTCCAGTTAAGTCTTATTTTCAGGGGGTGTAAAAGACATTTAAGAATACATATATCACATTCTGACTTTTTTTTCAGTGTGTATATATTAAAAGCCCCAAAGTACCTAAAATTTCTGATTTCAGACAGTGAGAGATTTCATTTCCTCAGGTAATTGTTTAATGCAAGTAATCTTCAAATTGCTCTAACCATTCCTCTTGTTCATCACTTTTAGAAGCCCCTCTGCCCCATTTTTTTGTTTCTTTCTTTGTTTTCTGGATAGGATCTTGCTTTGTAGTTCAGGCTGGCCTTGAAGTCACTGTGTAGTTCAGGCCTTGAACTCAGCAGTGATCCTTCTGCCTCAGTCTCCCAAGTGCTGAGATTGTAGTCAGGTGCTATCATGCCTACCTTGCCCCATTTTTTTAAGCTCTCAGAATTTTGTGTTCATGGCTGCCCAGTGTCACATGCCCTCCAGAGCAAGTCTCTGTGCTGGGAGGATAGGAAGATGGCTGAGGATTTAGATGCCTTAGATTTAGATGTCATTTGCTAAACAGTCATAGGTCTAGAGTTCAAGTCCTGCTACAAATCATATGCATGATATTTTTATTTTATGTAATTATGTTGATGGTATTCATTGGAGAATGATGAATTTATTTTATATTTTTCACTGTATAGCATTTCAGCATCCCCCTTCATGCAGACAGGCTTAAACCATCCTTATCAAGCTCTGCAGTGCATACTCCTCACCTAAAATGGGTAGAAATGGAGCTTCTGTTTCTTTAGGTCTGAGATGGATCCCCGATGCTCCAAAGAGACTCTAAAGGTGATACTGGCTCTGGTCCTCAGATCAGTCTTTTTTTTTTTCCATAGTTTTATTGAGAGACAAATAGCAATGAGACAGTTTCAAATCAAATTGGTATGACAGTTTCAATACTTATCACATTGTATACTCTCTTCTTAGTGGTTAATTGCTATACAAGATGCAGACATGATAACCTATTTGCAAACACTATTAGAACAAATCACTCTATTCATTAAGAGAATGTAACTATATTTCTATCCTAACCATTTTGAATACACAGATACAAAATGGACATTCATCTAAATACCCTTTTTGTTTAGTTCCGTCATTTGAATATTATAGGTGTGTTAACTCAGCAAAATATTCTAAAAGAGTCCAGTAACCCATAATAGTATTGGGTCTTCTGCTTGACTGGAATGTCAGAAATTGTTGACCTGAGTCCCCTACAGCTCAACATAACACTATGACTTTGCTTCTTATACTTTGTTTTTATACTTTTCTGCTGGATGGTTAAGACCAAGATAAAGTAAGACCTATGCAACAAGAGTTGTAGCTTTTGGGTCTGATAAAGTCAGTGAAATTCCCTCAGGATTTATCCAGAGATCCTGTACCTCAGATTGTAGATCCTTTGTCACTGTCAGCCATGTAGATGAGTCATGGCCATTGCTTGGCCAATGTGTTCTCTGTGAAAGCCTGAGAGAATGTTTTCTCTCCATGTGACTTTCCTTAGGTACACGCTACATCATTGATCACTTTCCTCTAGATCAGTCTTTAAACAGCAGGTATGTCAGGTGACTCCACTCTCTGTTTGAGTCCTTTATCCAATCCCTATTGTCTACCAACTACGGTACCCTGTGTTGAGTAAAGGGTGCATCATCGATCTGTTTTTGTGCAGTGATTTTCATTTTTTATCAATGCCAATGTATACCAGTCTACCTGTGTGCATGTGTATGTGCACAAATGTACACATGCACACACACAATTCTTTCTCTGCCAACACTGACCTTCTTATAGTTGCCCAAGTAGACATTTTATTTCAGACTTTGTTCATCTTATTCTTGTACCATGAGCACCTTTTTTTAAAGCTTACTCAATTTTAAGCCTTTTCATGCATCATCTTCAGATGGGCTTAGAAGTTTGTTTGCTTGTAGGAAACCTTAGGTACATCTAGCCCATCTTATATTGAAATTAATGATCTTCTGGTTTGATCCTATAGAAGAACATATATCAAATAGGAAGTATAACATGAGGTGAGATGGTAAAATAAAGAAAAACTAACTGGGTTGAACTGAGAACCAATGATCTAACAATAAGATTGCATTAGATGCTTTTTCAAAAAGTAGAAAGTTCAGTTATTAAATTATCTGTTATTTTCTTTCTTAATGTAGGATGTCTAGGCAGGGACGAACAATCATCTTCTCCATTCATCAGCCTCGGTATTCCATCTTCAAGCTGTTTGATAGCCTGACCTTGTTGGCTGCAGGAAAACTAATGTTCCATGGCCCTGCACAGGGATCTTTGGACTACTTTGCCTCAGCAGGTTTGGTTGATTTTTTTTTGTGCAGTTGGTGCTTCAATCATAGAGTCCTAGGAGGGAGCCCAGTGTGTTGCCAGGAGTGCTTCTTGATCTTTGCATAGATAAACCTTAGATTTCCACATTCTGAAACAACTTCAGATGCTTGCTGAGTTTCTCAAAGTTTGCTTGGTGTGTATATAGGTCTCTTTCTGTTTCCTGTTCTATTTGTGTGTGAGTGGGTGTGTTACACACGTGCACGCACACACACATGTTCCTATCAAGCCTGCTTCTGTCTGCTCCCCAGGTGAGGTGACCTTTCTCTGTTGGTTCTGTAGTTACCATGTTGGACTCATGGTCAGGTCTTCTGTAAGATGAACAATTCTGAAAAGACCAAATGTCTTAGTTACTTTTCTCTCATTGCTGCAACAAGATACCTGACACCCAAAATTAAGGAAGGAAAGGTTTCTGTTTCTCACAGTTAGTGGAGATTTCAGTCCATACTTGGCTGGCTCCAAGGCAGAGGGCAACTGTTCATGGTGGTGGAAAACAACAGAGCAATGAAGAGGAGTTTCAGCTGCAGCGGCTAACTAGCCTCTTTCCCCTTCTTATATTTGTATGCGGATTATCTGCCCCAGGGCAGGTGTAGCACTCACACCCATAGTTCTCACATTAGATCAGAAATTAATCACAATCGAAGCTGCCTATTGACTGCTTGAGCCTTTGGGGAGACAACTAGACACAAACCATAACACCAAGTATCATGGACTTTTTTCCCCCCCTGTATTTAGAACAGGGTCTACAGAGTCTACAGGGTCTTACTACATAGATCGGATTCGTAGTGATTCTCCTGTTTTCAGCCTACCAAATGCTGGGATTACAGGTGCACACCACCACACCCAGTCTCTCAATCACCTTCTCAGCATGCCCCAGGGGCACGGCCATCACAGCACGCCAGGGATTGAACCCCGTCCGCCAGGGATTGAACCCCGTCCGCTGCACTCTGCCTAAGCAGGCACTTTAGTCTGCTGAGCTATCTGGCCAGCCCATCATTGACTTCTGGAGCGTGTAACGGGTGGCACATTATTAGCTTTTCCCCTCATAAGTCCTCTTGCCTCTTCCTTATTGAGTGCTCATGGAAATGCTTCTTCATTTTCTAGTAACATTAGCTTTCAGCGTTAGGCTGTGAATGTGTGAAAGTGACCTATTAATCAATAGAGTAGTGGCCAGTAATAAAACTGACCATAATGGGCCAACATTTCCATTATTTCTGGGATGCCTGCTTCTTTTTACTTACTTTAGATTTAATTAGGGGGTTTTGTTCTGTGATGGTTCATGTAGTCTGCTTAATTTTAGAGCCATTTTGATATAATTATAGATGAGGCTCTCCCGACTTCAAAAACAGTTTTAAATAGCTACTTACTTTCTTAATTTGTTTTTACTTAACCTCTCTCATTTAAGATAATCAACAGAGGAATGAGTAGGGCAGAGGAGATGAACCTGAGGCCAGGTTCAGGTGACTGTGACATGAGCTGTTGAATGCAGAGTGCGGGTGTGTTGTGTGGCCACCTTCTCTGCAGAGAGCTCTGTGGGGATTTGCTTCTATTTGAAGGTCTCCCAGCAAGACAGATAATAGCTCAGTCCTGTGGATTTAGTAGGTGGACAAGCTTTCATTACTAATGTATGTACTGCTGGTCCAACATTTCTGTGGGAACTACGGGAACACAGTGCACCTAGGCATTTAATCTTTTTTTCTTTTACTTTTTTATTTTGTTCTAAAGAAAAATTTTTATTTTTATTATTTTTAAGATAATAATAAAAAATAGTAATCAGACATTTAATCTTTTTTCCCCTTGTACATAGATTTTGATTTTTTTCTGTTTCTCTTTTATTATATTATATTTTATTTTTTTATGACCAGAAAAATTTAATGAGCAAAAAGTACAATAATTCAACTCGTCAAGAGCCAAGTTAAGTTACATGATTTATATTCTATCAATTGAGAAAAATATCATTGAGATATAGTTAT